AATATGATTGGTGTTTACAGATTAGAAAACAAATATTTCACAAATATTACCACTAATAATTTGTTGTTGTTGTTGCATGCGGCGTCATGTTGCAAGCGCATGATCATCATCAACAGCATCATCATGATGATGCTGCTGCAAGTGCGGCGATAACCTTTTGACTCTCTCTCTCTCTCTCTCTCTCTCACTCTCGCCGGGAAGCGGGAAAATGCGACTGCATCTTGGTTTTTGGGTTTTGAAGTCGGATCTGGGACTTGCGCCTCTCGTGCAAAACTGACAAATTGAATGAATAAAAGAGCAACAAGTGGTCTTCGCTCCGCATGGACACACTCCGGACAGAGGACAGACGGCATAGTTAAACATTTTGAATGAAAAACGCCAAGAGTGAAACGACGACTGCGACTGCGACGCGCTCCACGTTGCACGTTGTGTTTTGACTGCAGTCGAGGCGCAAAAACATAAATCGAAACACTTGCTGCGTGTGTCGGACAACAGTCGCTGCCCCAACTCTACTGCCAAACCAACACAGCTCACCCCACCCCACCACACCTCCTCAACCCTGTACCACCGCCCACCCGCAGCAGGTTCCATTTGCGCTCGGTAGGTGTTGCCCCAGCTGAAAAAGAGGCGCACAATGCGCTGTGCTGTGCTGTGTCCAGGGATGAGGCTGGGGCAGAGGCCACTTTGAAATCAAGTCGAAAATTGCAATTCCAAAATGTTTGCCCTCGGCTAAAGTGGAGTGGAGTGCTGCATTGGGTGATGCTGACGATTCAAACGAATCGCGCTGTACTCTCCTCTCCACGCGGCTTGGTCAGTCATGTGGTGGCATCTATTGGGCCAGGCCAGGCCACATGTGGCATGGCTCAGTACAATCTGTGCTTTTCCTGCCAGCCAGCTATCCAAGCAGCCTGCCTGCTGTTGCATTGTTGCAGTTGTTGTGTGTCGTTTAATGCGTGGCCGCCTCGCGATGCTAAGGCGCTTTATTAATTCACTCGACGGTTGCTTAATGTTTTTGCATCTTTTGTACATATGAATACTCTAACTTAGAGCATGCCAGCTAGTTGCTCTAAGTTAGCCTAAATGCAAATTTACTGTTGCCTATCATTTTTGACTCTGACAATGACAGAATTATTGCTGAGGATTTACAGATTCCACTTCGTTCATTGGAGTCAATTTTTTGTAATCCCGAAGGTCTATGTGAATAATAAAAATAATTCCAAACTAGCAAGTTTCTTAATATGCCAAGAAGCTTCATAAAATATTAGCACAAATGGGTTTTCTTAAATATTTTTTATATAACAGAAATCACAAACGTTTTAGAATTTTTTTTAAATACGTTTTATTTATGGATAAACTGCTAAGCAATTCGTCATTAGATCTTTAAATGTATTGAAAAATTCAAATTTAATTAAAGTATATATATTTTAAAGAAAAATGTTTACAATAATATATAACATGTAATATTAAGCCATATAAAAATGTCTAAAATCAATCAGCAATATAGTGAACATGCAAGATTAAGACCGTAGTCTGGAGGATTAACAGAAGACTGCAATTCGAAACATTTTTGTTACCAAACAGCATTCGAATTTGAATACCAGGTCGCATTTCAGTGTAGGATTAGTGTTTGGATTTGAAAATCAGTTCAAATCATTTTTATTAGCGAACCTCGAATTCTGTAAGTGTATCAAAAATTTGACATGTTTCATTTAGTTGTTGAGCTTAACTGTTTGTAGCCATTGGCTAGGCTGGGATTTTTTTTTTTTTTGTGGCCAGTGCGGGTGCGCATGGGCATATTACAGGCAGGAGCATAAATCGGCCCCAGGTGTTTGGGCGCGCATTTCCCACGGATTAGTGCATAAATAAAGAAGGTCAGAGCTATGTTTGGGGCGCTGCTCGCATAGCACTGGTAAGTTAACTAGATATTTCAAATGTTATGGCAGGGGTTACCCCCACCACCCGACCGCCCTTTGCCCGTCGTCCTGTCATTGACTTCCGATGCTGTTGGCCGGTCAAACTGTACCGTCGCATCGCTTTCTTTTGCGGGGCATAAACCAAATTGCTTTATTAGCCGCGCGCGGTACCCTATAACACATAACAACTTCATTTGGTACCGGGCAGCCGCCTAAGGTGGTCCTGACGCAGCATTTCCTTTAGCTCATTAACACGTTGCGGTCCTTGGCCGGAGGGGAGGAGCCTGCAGATTGTTGCCTGGCGTTGATGGAACCCACACGCAGCGGTTCTCACGCTGCAAAACAAAAGCATTGTGCGCGCAATTTAAGATTAGCAACAGTTAACACAGACAAAGGCATGGCCCAGGCATGGATCATAATGATAATGCTTATAATAACAACGGTCGGGTCGGGTCGGGTCGGTCGGTCCGGTCCGGATAGTCGGTTGGTCGGTCGGTCGGCCGGTCGGTCGGTCAGCAAGGACCACCAAACGGCGCTGATAAGATGCCGCATCCCAGTCCAAGAGCTGCGTGCGCAAGATCTACCGAACAGATTGCGAGGGGAGCCCCAGGTGTCTCCATCGATAATCGCGCATTAAGCGTGCGTAAGTCCCGTCACGGCCCGAAGCAAGAGAAAGACCGCAAGGCAGATACCCGAAGAGCGAGATCAGCCCCAGAGACCTTGCCCTGGGTGCGATCGCGATAAGCGCGACTTTTGGCTCGGTACGTGCTAAACCCTTGCCTGCGATCATTTTAATTATAGGCCAGCCTGGACCAGCTGCAGCACAGCAGAGATGAGGCCCAGCTCCTCGCCGTCGCGGCTCTTCTGCCTTCCATCAACCGTTTTTGCGAGACGGGGTCAAGCAACGCAAATTGTGGGATGGGTCAATATTTGCTTAAGCCCGGGCCATAAATACTTAATTTGTCCAACGGTTTTTGGTTTGTAAAAAAGGAAGGATGAAATGAAAACCTGACGAAAGCGCGCCGCAACTTTTATAAAGTCATCGAGACGTCAATTGCTGCGCAATTACCTCCAAATCACTTGACCGAAAACTTACGCATAAATACACCAAATTTTGGATTTATTCCAGGCATTAAAAGACAAGGCACACACTGCCGGGCTAGTCTTCCCGATCGGAGCCACGATTGGAGACGGGCGCCGAGGCATCTACCTCCAGATAATCGTGCACCAGCTGGCATATATTCTCGGATGCCTCGTTGAAGTTGCCCTCCTCGAGGCCCTCGCCCACATAATGATAAACAAAGGCGCGCCGCTGATAAAGCTTATCGAATTTGTTGACCAGGCGGCACCAGGCTATCCGTATATTCGTATTGTTCGATATGGCCACGCAGGCGCGACTCGTGGGCGCCAGATCTCCGTTCGGCACATAAACGGGAGGCATTTGGCTAACGCCAATCTTAAAGCCAGTCGGTGACCAGTCTACAAACTTGAAGGACTTGGCACGCTTTATATTCTCCAGCGCCGAGTTGATCTCATTGGGCGCCACATCGCCGCGATAGAGTAGCACGCAGGCCATGTATTTTCCATGGGCCGGATTGCAGCGAACCATTTGGTTGCTCATATGGAAGCATTGGCCCGTCAGTTGAGCGGTGCTCATGTTGACGAACTGCGAGTGGGTGACGGGCACGAGGGGTGCGTAATTAATTAGGGGATAGTGTATCCGCGGGTATGGCACCAGATTTGTCTGCAGCTCCTGAAAGCTAACCGACTGACCCGAGAATCGCTGCGTAGCCGTAAATGCCGCTACCACCTGTCCAATGATCCGGTTCAGATTGGTGTACGTGGGCGCAGGCACATTTAACGTATTCGCGCAGATGTCATAAAGCGCCTCGTTGTCCACAATGAACGAGACATCCGCACAGTCCATGGAGAAGTGAGTGGCTAGTAGCGCATTGTACGGCTCTACAATTACGGGCGAAATGCTGCGGGGAAAACAAATGTGGCCTGAGAAGGGCGGGAAATGTTTTTGGCATTTACCAACTTACGAAGGCGATGGGTACACCAAAAACTCTATGACTGTCATCTTCTTTCCAAAATCCTCGACCAGTTTCTCCATAATGCGTGTGCCCAGGCCAGAGCCAGTGCCGCCGCCGATGGCACGAAAGACCAGGAAGCCACGCAGGCTGCGGCAGCGATCGGCGACACGGCGTATGGCATTCATGGCGCGATCTAGAAGCTCGCTGGCCATCAGATTGTAGCCGCGGGCAAAGTTGCTGCCGCTGTCGTCCTTGCCCGTGATCAGCGTGTCCGGATGGAATAGATTGCGATAGGCACCTGTGCGTATCTCATCTGGAGCAGAAAAAAGGGGAATGAGGATGAGCCGAAGATCATAATGCGATGCAATTGGCAGCCACCTATGACCGTTGGTTCCGTATCGATCATGACGAGACGCGGCTGCACGCAGGGCTCATGACCGCTAAACTCAAAGAACGTCAAGAAGGAATCATCGCACGGCTTGCTCATCAGCCGACCGTTTGACAGGATTCCATGCTCCAGGCAATAAAGCTCCCAGCATGCATTCGCGATCTGCACGCCCGCCTGTCCAATGTGGATCTGTATAATTTCGCCCTTGCCGCCCATGTGGCGCCGGTTTTCAACTCAGCAAGTGCTGCTCTGTGAACCTTCGACATGCGCTTTATCGATTTTAAATCAACCTTAAGCCAGGAAATAATTAATTATATAAGACTAGGATTTTTTCTGTGATTTTTCAAATAATTTCATTTACATTGATTTAATGGCAAGCTAAACAATATTTTGTTTAAGCTCTGCATTATATATATATATATATATATGTATGGTATATCATCTATATATACGCATATATAAGGTATGTACGCACAATACAAATATACATAACATTCATTATTGTCCGCGCGCGGATAAGTCAGTTTTCAAAGCGTTAAGTACAGATCCTTAAATATAGTGTACATATATAGTTAGATAATTTCCGTGCTCGAGTGCATAAAGTTCGACTATAGTGCGATAACTTTTATAGATTTTTTTTTTTGGTTTTGTATAATAGGAATGTACGAAAGAAAATTTAATATTTATTATAATATAGTCTATAGAGTGGTGTATTATACAAAGCAGTCGCAAGTTCTAGCTACGTCTTAATCATTTACAAAACATACATTAAAAAATGGAAATAATACGCAACATTGTGTGAAATAACTTTTCCATATGCTATGGTTAAAGTATTTACTCCTTAATTAATAAGAAATGTGTGGGAATTGCTTTGAAATTGTTGATTGATTGGACATTTTTATTTCTATGCTCGTTTTTTCAAGATTTGTGTTGCCAAAAGTTAAAACAGTCAGATCAAGCACGTGTTTATCAACACTGGCCTATATAAATGTACTGCTATTTATTTGTTTTGACGCTCGATAAATGAGATTATCCTTCTGCCTGTCAAATGCTAGGGTATTAATGGGGATTAAATACTAGCTGACGCGGGTGTTTATAAGATAACTACCAAATATCTTGCTTTAAAGGCACCAAACAAAATAACTGTTACATATGCATATTATACCTTGAGGGAACACAGTAGAGGAAAAAACAGAATTGTCACAAAACAAAATAAATGGTAGAAAAACTAGGACTGAATAATTAGCAGTTGGTTCGACAGATAATTAAGCGCAAGTTGAGTGCTGGTCTACAATGGGAACAATCAGATAAAAATTGAAAGCTTAACGGACTTAGAGAAAACGAGCCTTTGATTTTTCATTTGATTTGAGAATCGATTCATGGCGTCAACTGCGGGACTAGAAATAATTTTCAATACGTTTGAAGCAGGAGCTGGCAGTAGAAAACCCTTAGCCTGCTTATTTTGTTCATGGCATGTGACTTTGAGCCGATGCTCTAAAGTAGTGACTGCTCCAGTAAAATGCGCTCAAATCCCGAGGGTGGACCGTGCGTAAAATTATCCAGAATAATGTCCAGTATGGCGCCATTGCCCACTGCAAGGCGTACACGGTAAGAAGTTAATTGTGAAAAAAAAACCTGGAAGCAAATGCGCCAGCAACTCACCGTAGATGACCGGGAACAGGGCCGAGCCGCGTACATTGCGAAAAGGCACTTCCAGATTTTTGCCATTGAAATAGAAATTCAATTCGACATGATCGAAGGCCACGCCCAGTATGTCGCCCTCGTCGGGATAGTCACGTTGCGGTGCACTGATCAAAGCATCCACCGGGCTCAGCTCGGGCGCCGTCTCAACGCCAGTGGTCATCAGCAGATCCTCCTGCAGATCCTCAATGGCGATCAGGCCCGCTGCAGCGGCAGCGCTATTGTTCAATATACCATTGGCAGTGGATGTGACCGGGGCGGCGGGTGTTTTGGCGGCCGCCGTTGGCTGTTTGCAGTTGGCCACAACGGGTCGGAACTCTTCGTCGTTGTGGCGTGTTGCATTGTCGGAGCACAGGCACCAGGATTCGCGATCCCCGCCGCCCCACTTGCGTGTCAGATCCGCCTGACGCGTGGCCAAGCCAATTGACCAGCTGCCGCTCTGTTGGATCTTCACCTCGAAGTAGGATTTGGACTGCACCAGGGGTGCAGTGGCTAGTACACCGCCTGTGCCCGTTACACGCAGCTGATGCGATAGCAATATGACATCAGGGCCTGCCAAGCGTTGGAATTATTGAAATACCTTAGGTTTAGGTCAAATATGTGGGAGATAACTTACCCATATGTGCCGCATCCAGGTGCACTTCGGGCTCCCTAAGACGATGCGCAGCTGACGTTGGCTTTCGCAGCTGCCCCCCATTGAGGCACGTGCGCAGGCAGCAGAACATTTCACAAAGGCTAACGAATTTATTTTAATTGTTTTTTTTTTTTTTTTTATTTGGGTCAGCTTGAATATTTTCCAGATGCAGTTTGTTTTTTCTTTTGTGTGCTTTAATCCGCTTCGGTTATTAACAGCTGTTTTGTTCTGTTTGCCAACCCTGGCAGTCGCTTTGCGCGCCGACGCCATCTTATGACGTCATTGCTGTGCAGCAGTGACTGCATCTACGTACAATAGATGTCGCCACAAAGCCATCTACAGTTGAATTTCAGAAAATGGGTAATATTTCCAAGCAAACAGCAAATAAAACTACTGATGGGGCCATTCAGCTATTTATTTGGATATAAACTTCATATAGTTGACGTGCATTTTTATAACATTAAAAATAGTTGATATATGCATTAAATGCACATGCATCTGTGTGCAAAGATATTATCAATCCTGTAAGTTGAAATCTGAATGGAAGTTGGTTGAGCCTTTCTGAGGGAGCCCTTTTGTCTGCCCTAATCAATCGATATCAATTCGAAATCAAATTCTTGTAGAGTATTAAAAAGAAATTTCAAAATTATGTCTTAATGGAAGTGTTAGAATTGTATGATTAAGCCCAGTATGTGTGTCCGTAACTATGTATGTCCTTGAACGATCGATAAATATCGATTTTGGGCTGGTTCTTGGCACGTGTAAACTAAACTTTGAATATCACTTTTACCGAGGAAACTATGATAACGCGAAAAGTGTGAACACGTCTCCAATGATTATTCAAATAGATCCATTTTTGAAATGAATTTGGGCGTGAAACGTAACCCACCAAATCTTTGACCTCCATTTCCAGGAACATTTTTCGAAAAGACCAACAAGTTTCATACACACGTTTTTCGCGCTTTTTTTCACACATGCGGGTGGAATTACCCTAGATAACCCATCTTAATGTGCAGCTTCTTCATATAAGGTAAATACAACTTCATCACCCATCAGTCTTTCCGTCAGTTAGGACAAACAGTTTTATATATAGACCAAGTGGCGGAAAAATAAGTCTAAAGCTTTTTCTAAATTTAAATTTATCCAGATTACGATATAGATTGGGAAATAAATTTTTATTGGGCATCATCGTGTCAGCTTTTAGTTACATTTTTCGTAGCGGGCTACCAATTGGCGATAAATATTGGATACGCGGGAGCTCTTGTGGCAAGCAGTGCCGCCGCCTCGATTGTGCTGCTCCTGCTGCCGGTTAATGTCGCCGATGCAAATCCAATCGCCGCCACCGATGCGCCAACGATGCAGCATAATGCCTGTCTCCTCGGAGACGGCCCACTTGGAGTGATCGCTGGTGGTCTTGAAATCTACCGCAAAATCGTTGTTGGCAACGTCCTCAACGTTAAAGACCATGTTGGGCTTGTCGCAGCTGTCGGGCAAATTGCCAGCACCGTCGCGCCACGCCTCCACGAAAAGATTGACGCCCAGAGCAGGTGCCACAATATCGCTATAGAGCTCCACATTGGCACGCGGGCTTTTGCCAAAGAGTCGAAACTGTTTGCCGTCGAGTGTGCGCAGCTGCACTTCCTTCTGGTAGGGTGATTCGGTGCGCCACTGACGCTTTAGCGCCCGCTCCAGACTGGGAAACAATTCGCTGATTTTAAGCAAGGGATTGCGCTCATAGTAGAAGTGCGGCTCATTGAAGACGAGCAGCTCGCCCACCTTCTCAACGCCCTCAGTGTCAATTGTCATGCAAAGCAGACTTTGTCCGTAATTCTCGCCCGTGGTGGGATAACTGTAGTCCGGCACAGTGGGATATCTAGGGACCGAGTGCACCAGCCACATGCCCGTCGCGCCGTCCGTGGCAATCACACCTTTGGTATGGCCCCCATTGCTGGCGACGGTACCATTGGGAAACTGATCATTGTAGGCGGCCAGCAGAACGCGATGCTCGTCCGCATAGAGCGGCTTCAGAGTTTGGGCTGGCATCGAGTTGGCATCGCTGATGCGTCGCCCCGACATCTGCCAGTTGTCGTAGTTCGTGCTGGTTACATACAGATAGCGCAATCCACTCACGTCCTGTCCGTGCGGTCTGTGACTAAAGTGCTTGGGCAGCTTGTAGATGTACCACCTGTAGGAGGTGCACATTAAGCAGGGAGTCCGTTGCCAGCTATATTTGTAGAGTGTCACTCACCAGTCCACGTCGTGGCCCTGCTCGTCCTTGCACGACACCTTGTTGTCTGCCAGGCAGACCTGTAACGCGGCAGCTGTCCAAATCAGCAGCAAACAAATCAAACGCATTTCAATACCGTCTCGTCCCAGGGTACAAATTCTACTGATTCAATGTAGTTCAGCAAGTACAACCATCGACTGGAGGTTGCTGCCAGCACATTCTAGGTATATGGTATATACACACAGAAAAAAAAGACGGACTGAAATTGCTTTTACATTTTGAAATTCAATTTATTTTCTTAAAAACAGAAAATAATTTTTCATATAAATTTATAATTTTAAGAAACTTATCCTTTGAACACTTTTTAAATCGTTCATTTTATTATTTAACTCATTTTGAAAAAAATATGCGTGTAATTTAAATAAAACAATGATTTTAATTGGGTAATTCGTCGTTAGGTAAAGTAAAATATATAGTCCATAATTTGTTGTTGGTATTTTTAATAATCAATAATTCAAAAAGATTAAATATATCATTCAATAATAATTAAGTCAAACATTTTTTTGCGAGTGTGCCATTTCTAAGCATAATCCACGCTACGCAGGTAACAGCCTGTGCACAGGTAGACAAACTTCTTTTATATTGGGGATTTCCTTCTTGACGCAACAACCCTGTACAGTAGTTACTGGCATATAAACGACTCGCTTGGCTGAGCTCAATACTCAGCTTATCAGCGCAGAACGCGACCCCGGGCCATAGCCGGCATCTGGTTTTGCGTGCGGGGCGTAGTTTCATTATCGATTCAGCGGGGTTTATGGAACTCAATTTCTGGTGACCCTTAACGGACGCCCCTGACGTTAGCGATAGCAAGAACCAGCTCTTGAAATTTTTCGCAAGCAGAAAAACAATTTAATTATATTTCAAATTGAAATATTATATGTATTTGAATGATTTCGGTTTGATGTTGATGCGGGTGTACAAAATTTTTGATTATAAGTTTAAATGAATATAACTCTATTTTTTCAATATATAAACCTGTTTGTCCTGACTGACTGACGGACTGACTAATTGATCAACGCATAGCCCAAGCCACGAGAAGCTGAAATTTGCACCGTACTTACCTTATTTTATAAAGGTGCACGCTTAGACTGCATTTTGTAAAATTCCACCCGCAAGTGTGGAAAACACGCGAAAAACGTTTTTACGCATCTTTATTGTTTAGCATCCGCAAGTTGGGATCGAAACTCATTGTTCAAGATCTCTGTGAGAGGTTTCCAACACTTGACCCTTTATTTAATAAACCTTAAACATACTTTCAAATAGACTTTGCGTTCAAGATTTTACAGGTAGCCTTAAATTTGACGGACGGAAATTGATTGAAAAACATAGATCCAAATGTTAAGCACGGGGCTTACCACGGGCGAGGTCGGGGAATACCCGGCCACAGTATAAGTTGAAAATCCTTTAACATGCTTTGCTTCCAGAAAAGAAAAGTCGAGCTAGCTTAGTTTTTTTTTTTTTTTACAATTACACAAAACAATTGTTAAAGTTTTTATTCATTATTTGTATTACATATTATCTGTTGTTGCTGTTGTTGTTGCTACTGCTGCAGTTTGCACTGCGACTGTCGCCGTGCGCCGGGACCCTGGTTTCTTAATTTGTTTTTGTTTATTTTTTGTCAGGCAGGGTCTTTGTGCATCGCTTTGTTGGTTTGGGAGGGGAAATATTTATCAAATTGTATTATTTGTGTTGAATTTTTTTTTTTTTTTGGTTTCTTTTTTTTGCTTTTTATTTATAATTTGTAGTACAATAATCTGATTCTGATAATACGATAATGTCATTAAAATAAATTGCGTTTAAACCTTATCGCTGGTTGCTGTTTATTGTTTTCACGTAAGTGATGTGAAAATGTTCACGATCTGTTCTGCAATTCGTTCAATATTTTCCATTCTTTCAGCCAAACCGCACTCTGTTCTGCCAAGCTTGACCTTTGGCCTGTCTATTGCCTTAACGCTCGATTTGCTATTTCTTTGGTTTTATCGTATGCAACAACACACACACATTTAAACTCACAATACAATATTTTCGCTAAATATTTATGTAATTTTTTTTTTTTGTTTCTTTTCATTTTGTAATTTTTTCTGTTTTTAGTTTACTTTTAATATAGTAGTTAATAATTTTTTAATATATTGTATGCTTTTTTTTTATTAACTTTTTTTTTGTGTTTACTTTGAAATATATATAAAGAACAAGGCTGATATTCATATTTGTTTTTGTTTTGTTACCGTTCATGTAAGTTTATAATAATCAATATTTAGCTAATTTTTGTCTTAGCTCTTGCGCTCTTTTGTATATTAAGTTTTCATTTTGTTGTTAGATAATTTTCCTTATTTGTTGAAAATCATTAAATTTTTACAATACTAGCAAAAGGGTTTTATTTATATATTTTGTAATGCCTTTTTTCTTTTTGTTTTCTATTGCTAAAATGTTAAATGTTTTGCAAAAACGTCAAATAAATGAGCCTCAAAATAGACAAATATTTGCCATTTGTTATAGTTAATATTATATTGAATTATATTTATATTTTTTTATTATATTGATAAAAGTTGAATAATATGCAATTAAAAATTGCATTCTCTTTATATATGAATTCATTATTAATATAATTGTTGCTTCTTTTTGGTTTTATAATTTGAAAATTTTCTGCGCATAATTTGTTGCTGCTTTAAATATATATATATATATATATATATATATATATATATATATATGTAGATATAATATTATATATGCATGCACATATATAGTTGTTTATATCGGGCACGAGTTTGATATGTTTTCAATTAATTTATAATGTTTCTCATTTCACTTGTTGCTGCTGTTGCATTTTCTTCCCTTTCATTTTCTTGATAATTTTCATTGATATTTTAAATATTCAATATCAATTTGTTCTACTTATATATGTATATGTAAATGTGTCTTCGTGTATATGTGTGTGTATATTTGTATATGTATATATATACGCGTATGCTTGTATATGTATGCCTGTATATAGTATGTATATATAATGCAACTGCCAGGCGAGTCCATTGCAGTTGGAAATGTTATAAACAACTGTACAGCATGCCATATGTTCTTATATTTGCTTGAATGCCTTCAATTATAGTTCCATTTGATAATCATATCATATATTTCCCAGTTACTTATGCTCTTATATTCAGGGCTTTAAACGTAATATATATCAATGAATGTTTTTATTTGTTGTATATTATGAATTTTTTCTTGTCGCAAACATTTTCACTAATTTAAAATTCGTTTCTTTAAGGTTTCTGCGCATCTGCTTGATGATGTTCAAAATAAAAATAAAAATCCAAATAAATTTGTGTAGAGATTTGAAAAGTAAAACAAATGGTAGTATAAGAGTTTTGTTTGTTTAACGAACATAATGAATTTATTAAGCATAATTAATACCGTCAATTAAAAAAGGCTAAGTAAACGCTACACATAAAAACGCAAGTACGGAAAAATAATGTATATATATATATGTATGTATATATAGTATAGTATATAAATGGTATACAATACAGTACTTAGGCATTAGTATGGTTATAAAACAAATTAATGCACGTTTTTAGTTATCTTTTCGGCAGGCAAACAAAAGGCAATCGGAAACCGAATGGGGGATATGTATACGATTAAATATAGTTAAAATAGTTAAAAGAGCAGTTTCTCCATAATATATAAACATTTTCGAGATGCACGAAAAATAAAGTACAAATACTTAGCTAAAAGCTAATACAATAATAAATACAATAAAATACAAATTTTTTTTGCTATTACTGTTGCCTTTACTGGCTTATATGCCATTACTTGGTATATGCATTTACATATGTATGTAGTATGTAATCTATTACTAATTGTCCTTCTTTAGATGCACAAAACTCTTCTTTTCTTTTTTTTTTGTTTATTTTGTTTTTTTTTTTTTTTTTGGTAACTGCTTTGCCTTTTTACGCTTACATTGTCAAAAAATGTTTAAAAACCACATCAAAACATATCGCTTATCAATTTTTTGTAAAAGTTTTTTGTTCATTTTTTTACTTCGCATCTACTATCTGGTAAATCTTTCATCTTGCTGATATGTATCCGTTGTAGTTGCGTGTAGTTATATATATATATATATATATATATATATGTATATATATATATATATCATTTTTTGCTTGTTTCAAAAATGTATTTATATATTCATATAATGTTCCCATAATTCATATTGTTTAGTTAAGTTTTAGGTTTAGTTTTACATTTACAAACTAATTTCATGATGCATTTGATATTCCTGTTCAAAAGTGTTTCATACACACTTTCTAAACTGTTTTACTCAATTTTCTGTTTTATTTTTATTTATATTATTATTTTCCTGATGAGAATGTAGTTGTAGTTAGGAGAATGTCTTGAAATAAGAGCCCAAAAGTAGCTAATGTTGCAATTGCTTTTGTCTTCAACATTTGTTTTTCTATTCTTTTTGGTTATAGATACATGAGAAGTTGTCGATGATCTATGCTGGATGAGAACATGTTTTGCTCGGCTGTTTCTCTAAATCAGATGCAGGCGTGTTGGTTGCCACACGCACACACACGCTCACACGCAGCGTCTTAGACAAGTCAAGTCAATAAGAACGCGTTTCCATTGCTTTTGTTTGCTAAAATGCTTGCATACTTCGAGGCGTCAGCCTGTAAAGTTTTCTTATTCCTTAACATTAAAAATTAATTTCGAAAATATTTGTATTAGGCATAGCTTCTATTCCTTTTTTGTTTTCCTTTTTTTTTTTGGTAACCTTTATATTTTTAGTTTAAATAATTATGTATTTATACGCTTAGTTGTAGTTGTAAATATTTTGCTTCATAATTAATTTTGTTGGTTTTGTTTTTGTTCTTTAATTTCGTTAAAGGCGCAATTTTATGATATGCATTAGTATTAATATAATTAAACTTGTTCACTTATAACTAGATCATCCTAAGTGTGTGTGCGTGTGTGTGTGTGAGTGTGTGTGAGTGTGTGTGTGTGTAGTAGTGAATTGGTGTATATGTGTCGGTTTCTTTACAGACCAATGAATAGATCGTTCGTTATCAATAGCATGTATATTCAAAAAGATGATGTACCAACACGCCCGAATATAATGATCATTATTATGATGATGATGACAATGCTAATGATGATGATAATAATGATAGGCAAGAGTAAGCAAGAAATGTAATTGGACGGAGTATGCTTTTACATTTGACTAAAGTCAATTGAAATTTTACATAAGAAATAAATTGTTGAAAGTAGACAAAATGAGAAGTAGAAAATTTAACATTCAACATTATTATTATTATTATTATTTTTATAAATATGCGCTGGACATCCATTACCAATTATGCCAATTATAATTGCCATAACATATTTTTCATATATTTTTGTTTCCTTTTTTTTTTTTTTGCTTCAACAAATGTTTCAAATATGCCTTTGGTATGTCTAGTTGTTTTAAGCTTAACTAAGTAAATTAAATATAATAGATTTTTATTGTTATTTTATATTATTATTAGATTATTTTGCTGTTGGTTTGTTTAACAAATGTGGGGAATGGTTAACGTAATTCGGGTTTATGTTATTTAGTAAGGACAACTTTGGTAATTATAAAATTTAATTTAAAATGTAAATTTTAAATAATATACGCGTATGCCTATAATTTAAACAATGCTGAGAAACTGAAACGGCTGCCAATTCAGATGATAAATGTCTTCTTTCTTTCTATTCTTTCATAGTTTAGAGCTTGCCGTTCTTTTTTTTTTTTTAATTAGCTACTTAAAAGCCTATGTCTTGCCTTTTCTTTTGTTGTTTGGTTGTTTGTTTTGTTGTTTTTGTTGCTGTTGCTGGTATTGGTGTTATTGATGGTTGCCTAATAGTTGTTTTAGCTTTTAACTATAACATTGCCTTAGCATAAGTGTACTTGTAGTTGTTTCACTTAGTTACAATAGATGTAATTCCATAATTGTTGCTACTGCTGCTACGTAAGATGATATGTTACTGATTTTTCAATCGTAAAGTACGAGTGCTCGTCGTTCCCGTAATCAAAAGTTGTTTGTGTTGGTTGTTATGTTGTTGTTGCCTTTGTTTCTGCCTGTAGTTACTCCGCTGTCTCTGGTTCGTTGGTTTTTGTTTTTGTTTATTTTTTAGCAAGAAATGTGTGTGTTGATTGTTCTAGCATTTTTCTGAAATTGAGTTAGGAATGTTTTTGTTTGTTGGATTATCAACAATACAAGCTTATCAATTTTCTAGTCTTAATGCGGTTGAGAGAGCTTTCGCAAAAATTTCAGTATCTTCATTTTTTGCTTGTTTGTTTTGGGCGGAAAGTGTGTCGAGAGTGTCTGAAACTAATTATACCAGCTGTAGTGTCGGATCCAGCTACAGTTCCTGGTTCCCCTAACTGGTTAGTTAGTTAAAATATATATATATATATATTTATATGCATGTTAGTATGAATGTATTACGAGAGTCTTAACAGCGCATTTCCATCCTAATGTCGTGTCGAATTCACAATTTAAATGTACGTTTTTATAACAAATAAATTTCGAAACCAGCTTTCAGTTTTTCTCAATATAGATTTTACATATGATGACACCGACTAGTTCTCGTTGTTAAATGTTTTATGTGTGTATGAGTGGGTTTTGTTTTGGTTTGTTGTTTTTTTTTTTTTTTTCATTAGCTTTCATTATCTTTAAATAACACATCAAAACTGTATTACTAGATACAAGATATTACTTTAATGCATATACACACATATACAGATGATTTTGTTTTTGGGTTTTTCGTAATTCTTTAACGTTTTCTTTGTCTTTTAATAATTCTAGAAAGAGAGCTATTTAAAGGGCACATTCGGTTAAGCTATAATTATGTTTTCTTTTTTTTTTTATCATTTTTCAATTTTATATGTATTTTTGTTTTCTCCTTTTTATGTTATTCCCTTAACTTTGTTATTATACTTTAAAAATGTCTTTAATGAATGGATAAAGGTTGTTAAGAAAAGTAACAGATCAAATTCTTGCAATGTCTCAATTCCATTTCATGAATAGGGTCGAAATGAAAGGGTAAATGAAGCTAAACCAAAGTGAATTTAGTTCTAATTCGAAAACAAAAGCTAAATGGAAATTATCGCAACAACCATAGTTAAAAATGGATCAAAAATCTGTAGCAGCGCTTATAGACATATAAATATGTAAATATATATATATTAATACACATATGTATATATCTATTGGGGCATATCAACTGTCTAGTTAAGTTCTTTCAATCTAATCTGATCTATTTTTTGTTGTATATTTTACTACAAGATTCCCTTTGCTGGTTTTTGTTTTTCTTGTTAAGCTTTTTTGTTTTGCCGTTTTTTGTTTTATTTTTGGTACCTACAATTTTCGCTCAACATATCATCGGCCTGTCAAAAATTTCACTAAACTGGGTTAGGCTTGCCATATAAATTAATATATATATATATATTAAATATTTTTTTTTGCGTTTTTTAAGTTTTTTTTTTTTTTTATATACTACAACTAAAGTTTTGCCTCCTTTGCATGAATCCGTCACATGCGGAGCTTCACTGCTCTATGCTGGGCGGAGGGGGGATCCGCTCAAACTCAAAATGTACGCCTGTCGTCCCGTGCCACTGCACCACGGCACCACTTAGGCGGCGATATGTGTAGCCGCTGGCAACACATACGAGTAGATATGGTGGTGTTGTTGTTGTTGCTGCTGTAGCTGCTGCTGCTGCTGCAGCTGCAGATGGTGGTGTTGCTGCTGATGATGGTATTGGGGCAGCGGCGTTAGTGGTGCATTAGCGCTGCCGGGTCAGGTCGCTGTTGGTGTCATCAAGAACTGCTGCTGTTGATGATGGTGGTGCTGAAGATGATGATGATGATGATGATGCGGCGGCTGGTGGCTCTGATGGAAATGCTGATGATGCGTCTGCGGCTGGTGGTGTGCCTGCTGCTGATGTTGTTGTTGTTGCTGCTGTTGCTGCTGTTGCTGCTGCTGTTGTTGCTGTTGTTGTTGCTGCTGTTGCTGGTGCATTTCACGCTCTAGTTTCTTAGCGAGCAAATCATGCCTTGATTCCATACCCGCTCCTCTGCAAGTAGTTGGTAAAACAATTGATATTGTAAATGCCTGTCAGTTGAGTTTGACACTGGGTTCATTAATGGGCTAGTGGTGCACTTGTGATTTGGTTAGTTCTTAAAGCATTACTCTTTAAATGGACTCGACATGCACTACAGTGTGGCTGTGTGTGCGTATGTGGGTGAGTCGTGGCTTACGCTCTTTGACTGATTCCCCTGGGCATACCCAAAATGTACCCTCACAATCAGCACACACACACACATAAACACACACACACACACACACACACACACACACACACACAAATATAACCTTAAGCTACTATTTTATGGCTGCACCTCCATAAGAATCATGTTTTATGTTTTAGCAGCATGCAAAAAGAAACGTACAACAAATTGAAGCAGCACCCTCTTTCAAAAGCGACCGTCCCGCCGAGCACCCGCACGGCCACTAAACGCAAGTGCGCAATTTACGCCCGACGGCTGCTCCAGAACTTTTTACGACGGCACTGGCTGAGCATTCATTATTGTGCCCGTAACAGAAAAGCAACCCCCGTTGCCCCCTTGCCGAAAATTCTCACAGCTTGTAAACGATTTAAATTGATTTCGAACAAGCAATCAACTAACAAACATCACACATACTAAAAATTAAGCACAAAAATTTATTTCCAGAAAGTTTTTACAACCAAGTGAAAACTTCATTGTAAATAAAACTGAAACCAATAAAATAGTATTTAATTTTATATTCCTAAATTATCTAAGTTTTTCTTATCACCTTTGACAGTAGCTGTATTTAATTGCGTGTCTTCAAAGTAGATAATATTTAAACTGTGAAAGAAATTTGAGATGTGATCCCCTTGCTGAGTTACATTTCTCTTAGTAAGTCGCATGTCCTCCATGATCACTTTTAGTTTTGTCTATATTTAGTCGAGCTCAAACAAAATTCATGTGCCGATAACTATTCACTGTGTTGGTTTCAATAATTAGAATATTTGATTTGACTTTGTTATCGTGCCCATCACAAACTCATATGGTAATTTTAATTGTTGTCGGTTAATCATCATGTACAGCTAAATAATATATTTTATGTTTATGTGTATCAGCATCTCCCGTTTCGTTCCCATTAAAAACTCACAATCCTTTCATGGTCACATTAATTGTTATCCAACATATCTATGTACCTTTATAGAACAGTCTCTCTCTGTGAAGACATTAACATACTCTATATTTTATTTGCAGCTCAAACTGTACTCGATTTGCGTTGTTACCGTTTTAAACTTAAATATTCTCCATGGTGACATTTATCCAACACACAGAGTCTAGTTTGCTGTCACCAAAATACAAAATTAAAAAATAGCCAAACTCGCCGTCAGAAGAGTATTCCCCTGCCTACGGATACACGCTCACATGAATCGTCAACAAAAGTCATGCCTCCCTATGTGAGTATATTTATACTTTATTTAAATAAAATATCGATAGCTATAAGAACAGAAAAGTCTTGCGTTTAAGCTCATGAAGGAAGCCTTGAGTTCGTTTGTTTACCTTCTTTCGATTTTTCGTTTATCGTACATTTTGTTCTCCAAAACCACCCGAACTACTTTCCTTAAAACTACGAACGGGTCGGCACTTGTTTGTGGGCGTGGCACGCGTATATTTTGCATTTTTTATAAAGTTAGCTTTTGGCTCTGTGTTTATTGTTTGTTGCTGTTGCTGGCGTGATCACGAAAATTGAAAAAATAAATTTATGTGGTCTTTTAGCATTTATAATAAGTACGTGCAGCAGCGCACACATACATACATGTTTGTGTGTGTGGATGAGTGTGTTTTTAGCTAAAGGTGAAAAAATTGTGCTGTGCGGCTAAACGGAAGCTGGCATTTAAAACTAGCGGACGTCTAAAGCTCGAGACACGCAGCGAACCGATGCCAGATTAAATTCTGCATAAGTGTGTTATGTGTGTGTGTAGAGTAAAGTCAAGTGCTATAAGGCGGCCATAAATTGTGTGTGTGTGTGTGTGTGTGTGTGTGTGTGTGTGTGTGTGTGTGTGTGTGTGTGTGTGTGTGTGTGTGTGTGTGTGTGTGTGTGTGTGTGTGTGTGTGTGTGTGTGTGTGTGTGTGTGTGTGTGTGTGTGTGTGGTGTGTGTGTGTGTGTGTGTGTGTGTGTGTGTGTGTGTGTGTGTGTGTGTGTGTGTGTGTGTGTGTGTGTGTGTGTGTGTGTGTGTGTGTGTGTGTGTGTGTGTGTGTGTGTGTGTGTGTGTGTGTGTGTGTGTGTGTGTGTGTGTGTGTGTGTGTGTGTGTGTGTGTGTGTGTGTGTGTGTGTGTGTGTGTGTGTGTGTGTGTGTGTGTGTGTGTGTGTGTGTGTGTGTGTGTGTGTGTGTGTGTGTGTGTGTGTGTGTGTGTGTGTGTGTGTGTGTGTGTGTGTGTGTGTGTGTGTGTGTGTGTGTGTGTGTGTGTGTGTGTGTGTGTGTGTGTGTGTGTGGTGTGTGTGTGTGTGTGTGTGTGTGTGTGTGTGTGTGTGTGTGTGTGTGTGTGTGTGTGTGTGTGTGTGTGTGTGTGTGTGTGTGTGTGTGTGTGTGTGTGTGTGTGTGTGTGTGTGTGTGTGTGTGTGTGTGTGTGTGTGTGTGTGTGTGTGTGTGTGTGTGTGTGTGTGTGTGTGTGTGTGTGTGTGTGTGTGTGTGTGTGTGTGTGTGTGTGTGTGTGTGTGTGTGTGTGTGTGTGTGTGTGTGTGTGTGTGTGTGTGTGTGTGTGTGTGTGTGTGTGTGTGTGTGTGTGTGTGTGTGTGTGTGTGTGTGTGTGTGTGTGTGTGTGTGTGTGTGTGTGTGTGTGTGTGTGTGTGTGTGTGTGTGTGTGTGTGTGTGTGTGTGTGTGTGTGTGTGTGTGTGTGTGTGTGTGTGTGTGTGTGTGTGTGTGTGTGTGTGTGTGTGTGTGTGTGTGTGTGTGTGTGTGTGTGTGTGTGTGTGTGTGTGTGTGTGTGTGTGTGTGTGTGTGTGTGTGTGTGTGTGTGTGTGTGTGTGTGTGTGTGTGTGTGTGTGTGTGTGTGTGGGTAAGTGTGTGTGTGGTCGGGGGTTCAGTCTGGCCACATTTGTTGGTTATAATTTGTATTTAAATGCCTGCCTGGTAGCAATTTTTGCTGCTGCTGCTGTTGCTGTGGTGCTGTTGCTGCTGCTGCTGTTGTTGATGTTGTTGTTGCTGCTGCTGCTGCTGTCATGCAAAGTAAACGAGCCGAGCTAAACAATAACAGTTTGCAATTTTATAAATAGTTAATGGGTTGCTTTTTCGGGCTTCATTTTATAGTGTATGTATATAATGCGTGCATACAATCTACTAGGATGATACATGTGCCTGTGTTAAGCTGGAAGGCTGTGAATTATGAGACAAACCCTTTGTGTGGGAGTAGCTGCATTAAGTATTTATAAAGCTAAGAGGGTATAAAAACAGGTTTAGGAATTGCTGAGCGATAGTTAAGTGTGTGTGTGTGTGCGAGAACGAGTGTTAGTCTGAGTCGGTGTAAGCAAGAACGGGCAACTACAAATTACTTTTACTGTTACTTTTACTTTAAGATATACATTTACTTTTACTGTTCATTGATCGTTTTTTATTTAATCATATACATACGTCTCTAAAGAGATGATTTTGGTGGTGCTGATTTGGATGAAGTTGGTGGTGCTGTAGTGAGTTAACAACAACGCTAGTGGTGCTGGTGTTGGTGCAACCTGCGGTCGCTTGTAGTTGCTGCAGTTGCTGTTGCTGTTGCTGTAGTTGAAATTGTTGCTGATGCTGCTGCTGTTGGTGGTTCTGATGCAGTTGTTGCTGCTGTTGCTGCTGCTGCTGCTGTTGCTGTTGCTGTTGTGCTGTTGGTGCATTTGGTAGTGCTGCTGGTGCTGTGGTGCTGTTTGTTGGTGCAGTGACGAGCATATTGGTGTTGTTAACATGCCCCAAATGCGGCGGTGGCGGTGGCACCTTTAATCCGCCATTCAATATAAAAAGTTGTTGATGTGCTGTTGCTGCGGCTGCTGCTGCTGCGGCGGCTGCTGCTGCCGCCGTTGCTGTCTTGCTGCTAGTCATGAGCGATATTTCGTTGAGCATCTTGGTCTTAGCATACTCGATGCGTATGGAGCCGCGGTCCGAGCTGAGCAAATACTTGCCCTGCAGCTGCTGCATGGCCTGAGCAGCGCTCGTTGCATCGCTGAACTCAATAAAAGCCACCGGATGTTGTTGTTGTTGCTGGCCAGAGTTGCTGTTGCTGCTGCTGGTGCTGGTATTGCAGTTTGTAGTTGCTGTCGTTGGCAATTGGTTGACAGTTGCAGTGTAGGAAGTTGAAGTTGGTGTTGGAGAAGTCAGAGTTGAAGACAAAGTTGGAGGCATAGAAGTTGTGATATTGTGCGTACCTTTTGTGTGCATTCGTAGGCGACAAAAGCCAGGCATACTGTGCATATTGATAACATATTTGGTTTGCATATATACGATATACGATATATATAGATATATAGGTATATGAGTAGTCGGTTATCGATATTTCATGTACAATACAAGTGTTGGGCAACAAACGACAAACCAAAGAGAGAACGCATAAAAATGTATTGATTAGTCTTTGCAATTAGTTAGAATTTCAAGAAAAATTGTGGTGCATTTTTAGTTGGTGGTTATTGGGTTTGGTGGTGGTAGTGTAGTGTTATTAATATTTTAATTTGGTTTTTTTTTTAGTGGGTGGCTGCTGTGGACAACAGTGGTGCAGTTTTCGCTCAACAACTCAAACTTTGTAACGTGTTTACGTGTGTGTCAGTGTATCTTATTTTGTTATCGGTTATCGTTTAGCTTATATCGATAGTTCTATTGTTAAATCATAGTTCAAGCCATTCATTTACCTAGAGAAAACCTCCTTGAGCTCGTGCTCGGACACAAACTGGCCCAGATTGGCCACAAACAGCGTGGAGCAGGGCGCATTTGCGGCTATCTGTGGATTTGCCGGGTGTGCGGCGTTATTCGTGGAGCCGGCGGGGCTGGCCAGCGCAGGACTGGATAAAAAATGATGATGCGATGCGGCCGCAGCAGCGGCGGCGGCAGCAGCAGCTGCAGCTGCGGCATTACTCGCAGCGCCTTGAGGCGCCGCAGCAGCAGCTGCACTACCACCACCGCCGGCAGCGGCAGCAGCGACCATGTGCGCCATGGCCGCCTGCTGGCTGGGATGTAAAGCGGTAGCAGTTGTCTGATGATGTGGCATTGCCATTTGAGTCTGCAACATGGAACAGTGGGCAACAAGCGAGCAATTAATACTGTGATTGACTGTGGTTTAGCTGCTCTTCTGTACTCACTTGATGCATAGGCTGCTCCATTACTTTGTCTGTATTTAGTCAGAGATAGGAGCGGACGGGCACCTGCGGATGCAGTGCCGGATGCACGAGTGTTGCATGCTGCAGTGCAGCGGCACCGGGCAGCTCAGCGGCGGCGGCGGCCGAATACGCTAACGGATGATGCCATAGCTCGGGTCCGCCCGGAAAGAACGGCCCGCCCAGATCTAAGAGAAAATGAAGTAGAATTCAAGAGAGGGAGAGAGAAAGAGAGAAACGAGAAATCAGTTGAGCGCCAATTTTTTGTGTTTAGTTTTTATTACAATCGTTTTATTGTCCTTGTTGGTTTTTGTTTTTCTTTTTCCTATTTTTTGTGAGTGACCAACAATAAGTTTACTTTACGAAATGAAAATCGACAACAAAAAATTGTATTTAATCTTTTGAGTTCGCTGCCTAAGTCTTTTGTTTTGCTATCGTCTGTCGGCGATGAAAGTATTTAAATAATTTGTTTATCGAACATAAGAAACGTTATATACATATTTTATATGTCGTATATGTGTCTTAAAAAGGCTTGAACATATTCTTAGAGATATTTCTGGGCTTAAAAACTTCCAGAGTTTCAAGCCAATTTTCTTTAAATTTGAGAATTTGGTACGTTATTTTTTCTTTTGACTGAGCTTTTTATGAAGTATCTCACGGATTGTGTGTGCCTTCGTGTGTGAGTGTGCGTGTTTGTGTGTGTGTTTTTAGTGGAGTGTAATTCAAACAAAGTGTTACAGTGATCAAAGTGCGTTACATAATATCATAGTTGTTGTTTTTGTTGTTGTAGTTCTTGTTGTAGTTGTTGTTGAGGTGTTGCTGTAACCTATGTAAATATTTATAGCGAAATTTAGTTCGGGCGTACGGTAATAGATAACATTTGATATATATAGCAATTTATTCGATTCTTATATATGTATGTATAATATTATAGAGTGTGCACTTGAAGCAAATTTCAACTGTTCAATTGTTGGATTTTATTGTTGTTATGTGTATGTATGTGTGTGTGTGTGTGTGTTTGTGTGTGTACATGTCGAGATAGTTAGGAAGTGCACTGCGTACGCTTTCAAGTACGCCTTCGGTTCGTTAGCTCGAAGAAGTATTTGTGTTTTTATTTTTTTTTTGTTATTAACTATTAACTACATACATAAAAACCAAGAGAATAGATTAACCAAAAGAAAGAAAACTAGCAGTTGCTGAGTTGAGATTTTCCTTTTCTTTTTTTTTTTCAATTTTTCAATTTTTTTTTTTTTACTTACGTCCAGTGAGTGGGTGCATCAATGCAGGATGTGAGGCTGTTGTCGCTGTATTGGGCTGTGGTTTGGGTTTGCTCACTTTCGTGTTACTCTTGGCGAATTCCAAGCGAATTGTTTGGGGCATATCGGGGTCGAAGCGTACACCCTGCTGTAAGTGATCAGATCAAAATACAGCGGTTTGAATTTTTTTTTCATTTTGTACTTTTGCAAGAATAATAAAAGTGTTTTTGGATTGACTTTCTTTACTTTTTTTTTTGGTTTTTATCCAACACTTTTTGTACTGTTTTAATTTCTATTATATTATTTAATTCTTTATATTGCAACAATTCGCCAAAAATAAGTTTGAATGTCGCATAACTAGTGTGAAGAGAGAGATATGCAGTTTGACAGCGAGCGAGAAGAATTTGCGCTCTCTTATCTTGTTCCCTTTGTCTTTTGATTGGGGACATAAAAACCGACTTGCCTCTTGGGCGGTGCTTACAAAACGCTGAACTGCAGCTTTAAGTGTTGCCTCTGTGTGGCTTGCTCTTTTTAGAATGGGTTAGGGGCTAATTGAGTATGTATGTGTGGTTGTATGTGTATGTGGTTTTATCTCTTGTGATATGCAGAGAAATCAAAAGCAGGAGATGACTACAGCAACTGCATAGGAAGAGCACCTATGAGTGGAACGTTGGGGGAGCGTCATTCAAGAAATTCAGTGCTAACGGGTGCTGCCTATTGAGTAGAGGGGGGGTAGCATAGACATGCACCAGCCAAATATTGTGGACTAGAAATATTATTTTTATATATTTTATTTTAAAGGTTCTTGTTGGTGCTTCATTGCCTCATTGCAGTTGCTATGTATACATATGAGAGAGTGTAATGTGTATATGTGTGTGATGGTGTGACAGACAGAGAGAGAGCGAGAGATTAAGGGGAAGAGAAAGAAAGAATTGTTTTCTGAGATTGAGATGCAATACCAAAAATAATAAGATAGAAAAATCAAGTAAGGATAGACTTAAATGTAAATGCGGTGAAGGTTCTTTCAAAATGCAAGCACGTGTGAAAAGTACATCTTGCTATTGTAGTTGTTGTTGTTGTTTTTGTTGTTACTGTGGATTGATTGAGATACGATTGTTGTTGTTGAGGGCCTTACGGTTCTTAACGCTCAGTGTAAGCCAGGCAATAATACGAGTACAAGTTTTGGTTTTGGTTTTGTGTGCTTTACAATCTAAGTGTAAATGTTTTAGGAACGCCGAAAAGTTTGTATGTTTTATTGCCATTTGGGAAGGTCTTTTTATTTTGCTGACGTTGCTAAGAATTTTTGGTGTTGATCGATTATTTTATTTATATATGTATATAGTTAAAGAAAATATTATGTAGTATAAATATATATAGTCGTAGGCATAAAAGTTAGGCTTATAAATTTGCCATCATATGTTACCTGCAGATCTTGTTTGGCTGCCTCGGCACCGGCTCTTGTATGGAATGTTACGAAACCAACGGGCTGCGGTTGAAGATGAAGGATTTAATATATAAACAACTTATTTCTCTATATATTCGGTGTATCATTTACTTACCGATGCTGTTTTGCCATTTTTGCTAGTTACTTTTAGTAGAGATCCTTCATAGCCCTATTAGAAAAAGTTGGGAAGGTTTTTTTGAATTTATAATTGATGCATGAAAGACTTAGATATATATTTTAATGAGCTCACATACATTTTGATTTCTTTTACAAATAAAAAAACGATAACTCCGAAAAAAGTTTACTACCTAGAAGTTCTTTCTATTGCAACGTAAAAACTTTTATAGGAAAGAAAAATTTGTAACAAATATTATAAAATTTGTAAAAATATCTTACTTTATATAGAAATGAAAATATACAAAGTAAATAAAAAAAATTTAAAATATATTAAGCCTGGGCAATTCAAATATCTATATTAAAATTGATTTACTTTTTTCAATTGTTATGTATAAACTAATTCTAACGATAACACGTTAACAATTTGAAGAACTAGCAATAGAAATTGACAACACTCAAGTGTTTTGTCCTACGTATCTTTGAAACCAATTAAGATAGATAAATGTGACCGTCGCTTAGAAAGTTTTTTTTACGGATTACTCACCTCATATGCTCTGAACAGCAAATATAGCTCACGTGGCTTGGCATCCATGGGCAAGCCACTGACGAAAAGTGTGCGCACCTGCAAGAGACAAGAGAGTAGGAGGTTGAGTGTGAAGAGATACAGTTAACAAATCTATGTAAAGATTTTTTGCAGCTTTTTTTTTAAGAGAAACCAATTTCCTATGATTGCGTAATTAAGTTAATGCTGTCACGTCGCATGAGAGGATACAAAAACGAACTCAAAACCTCTGGCCTTCATTTCAATGTGTCAAATATTTAAATTTTGCTGCCGCCCCAAGCCAAAAAGTTCATGTCACGCACACACACCCAAATAGATATGCAAACCAGTTTGCATATGTGTACGGGTGTATATGTGTCCGTGTGTGTGTGTGTCATTGTGTAGTGATAATGAAAGCAAATGGAATAAGCGCCATAAACGCTGAATTCATTAAGGCAACGACGTGACGCGCAGGAATAGCAGATGTGCTAGAGAGAGAGGGGTGAGCGAGAGTAAAGGGGCCTTGTGTGGTGGGGAAGGGGGTGGCCTAATGAGCCTTGTCGCACTTTTTTTGTCCCTTTTTATTTTTAACACCTAGGTAAGCAGATTGTAAAGGGCTGTGCAAGCTGTGAGCTGTTTTTAGAAAGCTTTCCTTTTTTTTCTTTTTTTTTTTTTGGCGGTTTTATACCCGCACTGGAAATTTAGAGAAGGCTCCATAAAAAGCTTCGTGTGGCTTAGGGTAAAGCAGTTTCAATTTGTTTAAATATAGGTGTACGACACAGTTAGAGGCTGACCCTGGAATTATCTTTTTATTTTTTAATTAAATGATCTTTTAATGTTGAACTTTAGAGTCAAAGGGTTAAATAATTCGGGTAAAACATGAATATGCTGCTATGCGAACAGTTTCAGTCTGAATTCCCTCGTCTCCAGAGACTGACAGATGTTGTGTGTATGTGTGTAATTCTGTTTTAAAATTGAAACGTGCTCTATCGTTAAATCTTGCTATTGTTAGCCGGCTGCTAGAGCAGGTGTATAAAAATAGCTAAGCTTGTATATGTAGCACATTAATAGTCCTGGTAGTCAAAGCTGCTGCAGTTGCGGACTTAAAATTGTCCAACCGCAATTTACAAATTAATTAACCCACTCAAGGGCTGGGCAGCAGGATGAAAAACAATAAAAAAAGGCAAGAAAATGAAGTGAATTCCTTTGACGTTGTTGGCGCTGCCAAGCTGCCAAAAAGGATCTGCAAGCGTCACGCTCAGTTAAATAGCAATTAAAATTAATTTTTGCGCAGTCTGTGGCTGCAAGTTGCCCGCTTCTCCTGCAATTGCGGGTCCGCTAATTGGACGGGTAATGAGCTGAGCCCGTACCCTGTCCGATGGATGAGACGCGACCAAAAATAAAAAAACAATATATAAAGGATAAGAGAATAGACCTAAAAAGTTGCAGCAAAATTGAGCCGAGCCAACTAATTAGAAAGCAGTGGTTGCCCGCTGAAATTTAATTGCGGTTACAATTTATGTTAGAAATGGCATTGAAATGCAATTATAATATCTTTTGTGTGCGTGCGTGTGTGTGTGTGAGTGTGTGTGTTTGTGGGCTACAGCTCAAGCTGGTGGCATGTCCCGCTGCACAAATATGCCAAGAGCAAACAACAGGCTAGGGAGACGTCCAGACAGGAAATGGAACTCTGCTAGACATTCAGTTGCATTGCCAACCACAAACGTCAGTTAGCCAGAGCCAAATCAGCCATAGACGTGGCTAAATGTAAGTTGGCTGCATAAGCTCCCCCGTCATTCTTCCCCGTTCTTCGCTTTCTCTCTGCATCTTGTTGCCGTATGTTTGTCTTGTGTGTATTTTGGCCACTGCGGATGCACATTAAACATTTTGGCAAACACATCCAGCGCAGTAACCAGTTCCCAGTTCCCATTTGCCAGCTCCTAGATGCTATCCCTAAGAACCACTTGCCCAGGCCACTGGCCGCTCTTTTATATGGCACATATGTTGGCAACTATATATTGCAGTTGAGGTTGTGTGGGTGTTGCGGGTTTCGTTTCCAGCTTACGTTGCCAAAATCCATTTAAATACAGTAAATGTCATGAAGTTGCAGTTATATGTGGCAGTTGTAAGTGTTGCTGGTCAACCTTGCAACTTGGTTGCCTGCGCTTGGCAATGATTTTGATACTCCAACCCTTAGCTCTCGTGCCTGTTTGTTTATGTGGTTGTGTAGCTGCTGTTGGCGCTGCTGCTGCTGCTGCTGTTGCTGTTGCTATTATTGCCAAGAAGTTGGCAGTTGCCTTGCGCTCGCTACCCACACCTCACTCGCATTGCGTTTAGCCAAAATGGCTTGCTTTGGTTATGTTTCAGGGTCAGTTTATGTTCTGGTTGTGTTATAATTCTTGTTTGTAATTAGGCGCTTCATTTCAGCAGACTTCTAGTTAAAAGTTTCTTACGCATACTAAATATCCAATTGCAGATATGCAAATATCACGCATACGCAATGTTGCTGTATTGACTTTCCGGTCGAAAATCAACTGACCAAATAGCTAGTTGTTGGCCTTGTCTTGTCTTTTGGCCTATTGTAAATCACTCAGTAGTCAAGTGTTGACTTACAATAATTAAGCGTGACACACACATGCATGCACACACACCCAAATATAAACAGTTTATAAAGCGATCATAATCGCCGAGTCGATGTTGTGGGCTTGCCCCGGCTGAGTCTTGGTATGCGCAGCGCCGGCTGAGAGGCGTTAAATTGCAAGCGCTTGTGAATTGTCAAACAGCTGACAAACTGACACGCAAATAGAGAGGCTTAATAGAAAATGAAAATCAGCTATAGAGTCCGCCACAAATCGCAGTGAACAGCGTTCGCAAATATTTAAATAGTTGCAGCGACTGTTGTTGTTGTTGTTGTTTTTTGTTGCATATGCTGCGCGTCAACGCCAACATCAAACATTTAACATTGAAACAGCTTTAGTTGTTTGACTTTTATCGGCTCGGCGGCATTTGCACAAAGTATTTGCGTAAATATTTTTCTGTAAATAATTGGCAATTAAATTAATTTTTAATGCATTATAGTGTGTCTGTCTGAATGGCCGCTTAATTTAATTGATAAAGTAATGCACGTAAAAAGCCAATTAATCGAGTTGTTAATCTAAGTAGCAAATGCCTGAAGCTTAGAGCTTGGATATAGCTATAAAAAGCAACTGAAAACAAGTATATATACATATGCGAAATTCGCGTTCTCTGCTTTAAAATACTCTACTCACTTTCTAAGACCGACATTCTAAAAGAGAGTTTCAGCAAAACATACTACTTCCAGCTTTACATTTTCAAATTTAAAATGTGAATACAGCATGGCCATTATTTGATTTCAAAAATGTTTTTCTATAAGCAGCTTAGTAGATTTCAATTCTTGAAAATTCTTTTACGTAATTTATGTGCCCATCGTTGGTCAAGTGAATGTCGAAGTAATTGGCATAATGCATAATAATAGTCGGCAGTTTCCGCAATAAGTAAATATTTCTTTACTGCAAAAGTCTTGGCCAACAATGTATTTAAATCAGCTAGCTGTTGGCGGGGAGCTGGGCCAACCTACCCTTCTCCCTCCAACCTAACGCCAATTAAGTCGAGCGTCGAGTCAACTAAATGCCGCCAGCTACGAAGTTAACTGCAGTTGCTGTTTTGTTGTTATTGTTGGCATTGTTGTTGCTGCAGTTGCCATTGCTGTTATTATGTTAGTTTGTTGTTTATTTAGTTTGTGTATTGCTTTGCTGGTTTCTTTTCCTTTCGGTCCAAGTAGCAAGTCAAATCGTGAAGTGCAACAACAAGCATTGAAAAGAACTCACGCCCTCGGGCTGAGCACTGCAACAAAAAGTCGCTCATGCTGCGGCAATTGTTATGGCTACACTATGTCCGGGATAAGCGCTGTGCCAAACAATAGACAGGGGACAAAACGGAGAGAGAAATATTAATATTAAAAATTATTTTTTCGTATTTGAAAGTTAATAGATAACACACATATATTTAGTTCAATTATTATAATGTTCTTTTGAGTTAAAATTTGATTCCTCAGTATCAAATTTTATGTGTATTAAAACCACTCTTTTTATATATTTTAATATAAAGTAAAGATATCACAGGTTTTACAAAAAAGTAGATTATCGATAGGTTTTCACTGCTTTATAAATTTCGCAATACCAAAAAATATTGTTGATACATCAATCATTTCAGGAAACCATGCCTAAGATTAATGTGTATGGAACTAAACACCCCAGGCTTATCTATGCTCGCGGCACTCAATAAATTGTGTTAACTATCGATACTGCTAGTGATGGCAATTATCACATTTATCGATTATTGCGATTACGCAGTATATGTATATATGCTTGAGCTGAACTCTAATCTTATGTGTCGGCTCGTATTGTTACTTAATGCTTCTATCTCCAATCTTTAACTCTCTGCAGCGTAAATTGCTCACACAACTTGCGGTTAAACTAATTTTGTCTTCTGTGTTTAGAGCATTGCGAATTCAATGTTGAGCTGGAGCGTGCTCTACTAAATGTGTATGGCGAGTGAGTGAGTGAATACTAAATGTTGCAATTGTTGTTTTTGTTTCTAGTTGCCGCTGCTGTGCTTGTTGTTTTGCCGCATTTTGCATACAAAATGACTGCGGCCATTGTGAAAATGAAGCTCAGGATGCATTGCAGCACGCGAAGCAACAGCACAGACAATTGCACGAGCAACAGCAGGAACAGCAGCAGCAATCCGTGTGTATTGCAGCAACAATAGCAAAGCGCAGCGGCTGGCACAATGTTGGGCAACTTCTTATGACTTAAATGAAATGTTTTGTTTGAATGTTGCGCCTTTCTTTGGCCAAAACGTGCTTGCACGTTTGGCATTTGGCTCACGCGCGCGACCCGCCGCAATCTACCACGCCCCCAAAAAGCAGCACGTGGTCGCGGCTAGCGCTCAATTAAACCTTGCCGTGGTCCTTGTTGTTGTCGTTGCTGTTCTGCTTTAATTTCTTGGCTTACCATTCTTTGTTGTTGTCGTTGTCCTTGTCACTGTTGTTGCTGTTC